AAAGGTAGTATAATTTGGATTTATGGAGGGGAAGGGGAAGGTAGAGTATGTTTGGCACGACTTCTCATGTGAAAATGATAACTGAAAGACAATAGCTTTGCCTTTTATAGTATAAGACATTAGTGAGCAGCACTGCAGGAAACACGCACACGAGTTGTTTTTCTGGTGGCTGGAGTAAGCAGCCCTGACCTTGGCTGCTTGTTTCTTGCTCTAGCGTCATTGCCGTACACAAAGCTGGAAAAAAAAAAAAGAGATATGTGGCCACAAGGATTCTATAGGGGAAAAAGAAAATCCCTCCAGCCAGTTTTAGAACTATTGCCACCAGATGCCATTCCACACCTTGAGTCATCAGCTGGTGAGATGATTCTGAATGCTGACAAGGTAAATGCTTCCTGTGTCTGTTCATTCCCTATCCTCCTGTCTGGAGTTGACAGCGGCAGAATTAACATTGGAGAGATTAATGATGTGGACATCTGTCTTTCTGAAATGGAAATTGCACTGTGAACTTCATATGCGTTCTTTGCTTCTCTGTGCAAAACAAAGTTTTTGCTGCTAGAGTTTCAGGACGCCCCAGCATGAGAACTGGGGAAGCATTTCTAAGGTGAGTGAGCACTACACATAGTATATGTTTTATTTCTCTTTGGCCTATGCATGATTATAGCTGAGGGCCCAGAAACAAAAAACTGTGTTTTGTCACCCGTCCTCTGAAGTAATACATCCACCAATCCAAAAAATCATCCAAATTTAGTAAATGTGTTGAAGTGTCTGAAAACTGGTAATGAACAAGGATAGCAGTTATGATCTTCCCCTGAATGTATATTTTGAAACACAAATATGAAATATACTTACTTTTCAGTATTTTAAATTTGTAATACTGTCATGCACAGTGAAAGGATGGGAATGGCACAGGGCAGGCATTGTCTCTTGGAGCAGTAATGTAGGTTTCCAAAAATTGTTGTGGCTTTTTTTGTAATGGGACTTTAACCTTTTCACATTTTTTTAATTTCTGTGAGTATAAGAGATCATTAAATTATGTGGAGAGATAGCGCCAAATCAGTTCTTTCACAAGACATTGCCTGTTTAAATTAAATATTACACTTTTAGCTGCTGGTGTCATAAGCAGCTGGGGTTGTGGTGACAAAAGATTGTTACTCCCTTCAGTGCTGTCATGATGCTTTTGAGAGTAACCATACAGTCTGTACTGCAGTAGAATGCCTTTGCTTCTGGTGCCTTGGGCAACAGAAGTCATTCTCTAGTAAGTAAAAAATGAAGGAAATACTTTTTTACAAGACTTACGAGAATGCAGTATTTCTTGACTGCAGGGGAGGTGTCACCCCAGCACATTTGCCAACTGAGATTTGCTGTCTGAAAGTGGAATGTGAACCTAGTGTGACAGTGGACTCCACCTCTAGAAATGGAGTAGGATTTGCTCACTCTTTCGTTCTTGGTCACTGAAGAAGAGCAACATTAACCATGAGAAAGAGCTTGTTCTTTTTTCAGACATCATCTGTTGACACACTGAACCCTATTTCCTTTTCCTTGAGAAAGATGTACTGCTAATGTTTTAACATAATATAATAATTATGGCCAGTCTTCATGAACGAAGAACTGGGGAAGGTCTTTACACCTTCCAGCCTGTGCACTGGATTTTTTAGGTGAGACACAGTGTGCGCGGAACTGAGCCCACCCTTTAATCCTGAGGTTCATCTGCCGAGGCCAAGCGAGCTTGGACGGTGGCAGCGAGGTCCTCAGGACGTAGATGGATTGCCTTTTACGGGCTAATGAGCTCCATCTGCCCGGGGAGTGTCCTAACTGGGAATGGAACCTGGGTCTCGGTGTTGACAGCGCCGCGAATTAACCACTGCACCACCAGGGGCACTCTTAAATGTTTTAACAAAAGCTTTCATGAATGGGCTTAGTACCTCAAAAGTACATACCTTTGGAAGAGAAGGTGTGTTCTGAACCAGTAGCTTAGATGTCTTTAAACAAAATGTTCTTCATAACTATTTCTAGTGGAGGAAGGAGGCATAACATATGGGATGTATTAACTCTTTCAACTGATATCACTTGGTGAACAAAATTTATTGAACTGCTTCTATATGAAAATATCATGATTTTTTTTTTCCATAGAAAACGTACCAAAACTAATGGGACGGGCTAGTCAGCCTGTGTAGCTAAGGGAGGTTACAGCTATTAAAAAAAAAAAATCCGAGTGTCTTTTGTTGAATAATATATACAGTTCACTCAGTTGAAAATATTCTCCTTTGTCACTTCTGTGAGTTTCAGTGGTGATTAATTTATAATGGGACTCATTTGCTGGTATTTGAAGAAAGGCTTCCACAGCACCCTTTGTGTCGTGCTTGAAAGGCTGCTTGAAGGAGCATCATGGACCATCAGAACCCACTCCAGTTTGTCACTTGAATTCTGTTTAACTTTCTTGATTAGCTGTAGGAATAGACTTCTGAAGGCTTAAGCCGTTCAACTGTCCTGACTGGTTTTTGAGAAGTGCCTCCAAATGAAATGAGCGGGAGCCTTTGAATAGTCCACTAGAAGTTACGGGTGTTTTTAGACTTCTCAGGAGCTGTACAGATTTGTAAACAGGAATTTGCATTGCAGGTGATTTGAAAACGTTTTGGACACGATTGGGAGGTAGCAGAGTGGACGTCATATTTGAGCAGGTGCAAAATGTGCTGCTGTTGCTAAAGGAAAAGATCAAGAATGGAACTGCCACAAACCAAGGTTTGAAATCCTTGTAGCTGTTAGGCTGGACTGCAAGGGAGCTGTGGCCTGTTTTGTGTAGATCTGTAAAATATCTGGCATAATTCAGATATCTCTGAATTTAAGTTACTTAATAGTTGGTCAGTTTAAGTACTTCTTAAAAAAAATTCTCTTCTTTTTAAAAAAAGACGATTTCAGGTGCACTTTGCAATTTTCTTGTTTTGCCTGTATACTTTGTCAAACAAAGCGTGGCTCTTCTTAGCCTGAAGATAACTAGGCTGATGACAAAGTAAAGAGAGAAACACTAAGTTGTCTTTATGTATATTACTGCCACTGTGGGCCACCAGTCTGTGTGGGCTTGGAAACATTCCAGAGGCTTTCCAAAAGCCAAGGGATATTCACCACTAATTCAGAACTACTACTGTGAGCTGTAATTTTATTTCAGTTCCTAGATGTGTCTGTTAAGGTCTATAGTGCAAAAGGTTTCTAATAGTATCAGTCTTGCAGTACTCTAGCCTAATGAGGAAACAAGTATCTCTGGTGGACTTAACCCTTTTTTTCCCTGTTATCGTTACTTCACTTACACTTAGTATCTGCTTTGGTTTGTTTGTTTGGTTTTTTTTACGCAGAATGCTGGCAGGCTTGGGCACTGGTGAACGAAGCTAATTTAAGTGATCTCTTAACTTTGACAAATGGTACGTGCATCCCAATTGTATTTGGGCTAATTTTTTCTTGTTTTACTCACTAGAAGTTTAATTCCCTCTGTTGAAATCAATAAAATAGATCTGAAAAGGCCATTAGCATTACAGTGGGGAAAATGTAATTATTAATTTCTTCAGGTACTGGACTATGAACTTTCACCTGGATTTGTATTTTTGTGGTTTGTGTGTGTGTACCAAGGGAACCAGTTTGAACTAGTAAGCCCTGATGAACCTGAGCTGTCTGCAAGCAGAGTTATTCTGTGCATGGCTCCACTAGCTGAAATACCTTTGCATTCTTTTATCTCAAGTAATGAAGGGAAATCTGTAAATGTGTTTCACGAGCGTGTTGTTTCTGGTCACTTTGAAAACTGTGTGGAAGATTTTTTAGTAGGGCACTTACTAACATGCTCTTTGTTAGCTGTACTTCATAACAATTCATTGTTTTTAATATATTTTGTCATTTTTCTCTTTAGTAACTAAATTAAATTATAAATTGAAATGTGAGTTGATGAAGTTTTTGGTTGCATTCAATTCTTTCAGTAAGTGATGGGTTTGATGGAGATGGACAACAGGAAACCAAACCCAAATTGCAGCGTCTTCTTGCAGATGGCAACACTACAAAGGCTGTAGAAGGTTCTGACAGGTCAGCATCTTTATTTCAGTTCCTTTTTGACATATTCTTTACTGCATTTTAGAGAGAGTTCTCAGTTTGTATTTCCAGAGTCAGTGTTTTAAACCCAGTTTTGAATTCTGCTAGCTTTCAAAGTGAAAATGTGTTTAACTTGACCTACACGGAAAACCTGATGTTTTGAATAGACTTGTCTAATTTACCCCATAAGAACACTGCAAAATAGGGCATTAGGTTGTGAATAAAGATCCATGATTATTACCAGAGTTATCATGGTTCGGACCTAAGCAGCAGTTCTCAGGCTTTCTGTAACTTGCGTATTGTCAGGCATATGACTTAGTCCCTCTGTATTTAGCCTCAGGTACTGATTGGGAGTTAATATGTTGTTCCTTTCTTTTTTTTTTTTTTTTTTTTTTTTT